TAAAAATAAGAAGTTGAGATCAAGAGGTGAAAAAAACAATACTCATTTTTCGTTACGCGATGACGTTATAAATAGGATAGATTTACTTAAGCTCGCTACAAAAAAAGTATAGCACATGGAAAACCCACTGTTATGATTTCTTAAGATAATGATTTCGAACTTCTGGTCATTGAGATGATACGTTACGCGTACCAGCTGATATATATATATATATATGAAAGATCATACAATCCAATAGAAATAATCAAATATCAAGGTCCATCATTAACACGTGTAGATTTCACAAGTTCTTTAGAAGAAAATAACTTTTTGATGAGCATTACTTTTAGCTACTGTGAAAATTAGGTATTACTAAACATAAGTGTTAGAGGTTGGTTTTACTCATCCGAAATTCTAGTGACCTGGAAGAAATAAACAAAGAACTGACAAATATACTTTTGACTAACGAGGTAACCATTTCAATAGAATTTATACTAGTTTGTCGAATTCAATGAACTGAGATAACGATTACATGCTATGTTCTTCACTATAGATTGTCATCCAAAAGTTAGAACAATCTCAACTTCTGAAAGTTGATCTTAAACAGTTATTTCGACAATGTTTAATTTTTATGTTAGTTTAATTGTAAGTATGGAAAGCTTGAACCAGAGATGTTCATGGCAGTGGTGGCGGCACGACGGCAGCCGTTTTTAGGAAGAAATTTCAAAAACTCATGAATTTAAACAGAATCTCGACGTTAATGTGTGCTATACTGTAAGACTTAACGAATCTGATCGATTAGCAGTAGCAGTTCTAGTTGTGACATTAGTCACAGTCTAGAAAGTCAAAACATTTTTTTTTGAAAACTATCGTGTCGGCACCACAGCAGTGATAGATTCTCAGCTGCGATAGACATCTCTGACTTGAACATTCAATGGATCTTAATTGACTGATCTAATATCATTAGTAAATTTGGATGTATGATCGAATAACTACAAATAATATTTAAAATGCTGGAAACTAAGCAAGTATCATAGGCCTCTTTATTTTTCAAGGAGGTAAAGTAAGTCGGTGCTTTCTTCACGCTTCACATTTCGACTATGAGAAGTTAGAGATATTAGCTCAAAACTCTGTGCCAAGTTTAATATGATAAGTTTCTCAATTCCGAACTACAAGTTACCTTAAAGTTAATTGACAGTAGTGACTCATACTTAATTAAGTTCTTCTCGTAAGTGATATTCCAATAATAACATTCGTTCTCCTAGCTCAAAATCAATATTTGCATTCTGTTAGATTTGTTAACCTCAATTAAAAATGTTAAATCTGAAATAATCTTTTGTCTCGATGATGATTTATAAATAGCAAAGATTTTCAGCTTTGTTATATGAATAATAATAATAATAATGTTTCTATAAATCGTATACGTACTGTGCCCATATAGGTAAAAGATCATCAGCATTCATTTGATAGCCAAATTCAATAAAATCTTTTATTTCAATATTCAAACATGTTTGGTTGATATCTTTATTTGAATTGGTTTTTGAAGCTATGTAAAGTTCTTGAACACGTTTTTTTAATTCATTAAAATTAATTTTATTTTTGTCTAATTCAATCATATGTGGAATTTTTAATTTTGATGATTCAAATAAAATTTCATTTGTATTTTCATCATATTCCATTCCACTAGCAATTAATTCTGCACGAATTTTATATTCATATGAACGTGATAACATTTCATTATCAATTTTTATCATATTTTTTGTTGTTTTACGAAATTTTAAATAATGTTCAATTGTTAAAACAATCTTTAGAAAAACATCATCAGCATAAATATTTCCTTTTCTTCCTGCAGTTTGACCAATATCAATCATACAATCCATAATCATATAGTCATTTATTAATTCATCATTAGAATATTTTGTTTCAAGTACATTAGCAACAGTCTTATGTAAAAGAAAATGTGCACTTGAATTATTTGGTTCAACATTTCCATAATAATCTTTCATTTTATTATTGAAATTTTCTTTTATTTCATTCATTAATATTGTTATATTAATACGTTTATTATCAATATCATGTCTCCATAATGGTTCTGTATTGAAAAATAATTTACTTGAACAAGAAAACTTTCCAAGATTAATTGCATAACCAGCTATAGCTGTTGCAGCTTTTGAATGATAATAACCAAAAACATTTTCGTTTACTTTCTTTTCAAAATTTGACCATTCGATTTGCATATTTTCACGAACTGATTGATATTTTAAAGTAAAATTAGTATATAATTTCATAGGTCGATCATGTTCACGTATAGTTGTTAAAAGATATAGAATAAATGAAATGGTTTCTTTTGGAAGTACTGTTAAATGATCAATATCGAGATTTTCAACAAATTTATCAATAGATTTCATAACACTATCATAAGATTTATCTAAAAATTTTTTTAATTTTTCATTATTAATATCAATTTTTTTTAATGAATTTTGACGAGGAATTCCACATAATGTATCAAAAAGAATATCATATAAATCTTGTTTAATAATAAACAAATATTCAGGACTAAATTTTGTTTTTGAACATTGATTTTCAATACACATAAGAAAAAAACGTTTTCTTAAAATTATTATAAGAATTTCTTTATTAATTTGATGAAAAATATAATTAAAATTTAAAATTCTACAAACAGCATTAAATGGTTGTTGTAATAATTTATCTTCTTTTTTTATAATTTCTTTTAATGCATTAATAAATATCATTCGATTACCTTCTTCAGAAAATGAATCAGTTGTAAAAATATTTTCAATAATTTGTTTAATAAAATAATCTTTTATTTTTTGATTAAACCAATTTGATTTAAAATCATCAATTATAGATAAAAGTAACATTTGAATATGATGAAGAATTTTATATCCTGTTAAAATTTGATAAAGTATATTAGTTGTAAATTTTCTATTCGATTCTATTGACCAATTTAATGGAATAAAACCAGTACATGATTCTCGATAAAGAGTTATTAATTGATTTGAATTATTTATTGTTGTTGCATTTATATAAGATTTAGCACAATAACCACAAACTGGATTTGAAACAATACAATTAATTAAGTTTTTATTTCCTTCTAATGGAAAATTAATAATAAAATCATTAGTTGTATCGTCAAGATTGATTGGTTGTTTTAACCAAAGAATAAATGGTCCTTGTTCCATACAAATAGCACATTCGAATAATGGAACATTTGTATGATCTAAAATATCAATTGTATCAGAATATTCATCATCAATTGTTGTTAATATTTTTGCACGATTAGCACGATTTGATGAAAATGTAAAATCATTAATTGTATAAGAACCTGTTTCTTGTTCATGTATTAAATTTTGTATATTATTCCAATATTGACGAATTTTATGAAGATTTATATTAATATATTCTAAATATTGAATTTCTTCAATTTTAGCTTGATCTGATATTTCATGAAGTTGTTGACGAAATTGATTTAATAATTCAATTGAATTATCAGTTTCATTTAATTTTAATTTGATAATATTTGAAATAATTTCATCACGTTGTTTTGAATATTTAAAATTAAAATTTAATTTTAATTTTTCTTTTTCAATTTTTATAGAATTATTTTTCATATGAGAAACAAATATTCGTAATTCATGTAATTTATTACTTATTTTTCCATATTGAATTAATATTTTCCAATCATTTTCAGTTAAATTTAATATTGAATCTATATTTTTATTATTTAAAAACTTATTAAAATCAATTGCAATAATATCTTGTTCATTATCACGTATTGGAATATAATCATCAGGAATTTTTGTATATTCAGGAATTTTTATATTATGAAATAGTTCATTTATATTTAATGTAGTTAACTTTTGATAATCTGTTAAATCATTAGATGATTTATAAAATTGACTAATATAACCTTTTGATGAAAGAACATAAAATATTTCACCATCATAGAAAAGACATAAAACATTAGAAGCCATCATTAATGGTGCAACAACTGAAATATTGATTTGTGATGGTCTTAATAATCTTTTATGAACAATTATACAAATAAC